AAATAAAATGCAACATCTTTACCAATTTTGTTAGGCCATAGAGGCTTAGCACATTGTAAGAAGGAATTAACGCACATGAACAAACTGATAACCACTGAGATAGGCAATTTTATCACCTGTTTACAAGAGCTATGGTAATTTCCAATGCAACAAGGTGTTACTTTCTTCAGAAATCTCAACCATGATGCCTAAATACAAAATTATGTATAGTTAAGGGTTTTGTTACCTATTTTAGTGGTTTTTTTTCCGGGGGGGGGGGGAGAAAAAAAAGAAAAACCACAAACAAACAAACAAAAAACCCAACCCAAACCACAGCAGACCCCAAAGTAAAACACTATATGGCATATGTGAGTATTTTTAAGGAAGAAATTCTATTAATTGAGCAGTACTACAAAAAGCTAACAGAATTGACAATAATATAAACCCAAAACATTAGAGGAGGAGAAGAACCTCCCTATATTGTGTCACTAAAACTGCTCATCTATCTCATCACACCAACCCAAAATTGGGCTTCAGATTATCCCCATAATGGACAGCTGACAGTGAAGACTGGAAGCAAATATTTAAATCAAGAAGATCAAGGTATGCTTACATCATGCCAGACTGGTAGATAAAACTGAAACAAAACAAAGTAAAAAAAAATCCAAATCCATAAATATTGCTTTAGATGTGAGTCACAGCAGTCTAATATGTCTCTAATGTACCTAGCACATTTTTGAGGTCTTTCAAAACAATAGCATTTTCAAAGAAGAGAGAGAGAGATTTTTTTCACTCTAAAGGTTACATGTTCTTCTATCCTTGTTAGCACACAGTAAGAAAGTATAGCATAAGGCTGTTTCTCTGACTTAATCTCAAAGCAGAAGCTTCAGTCTAGGTTTTATGTATAGCAAATGAACCCTGAGATGCAATTTGGTGGATAATTCCCTATTGGAAAAGGCAGATTTTACATCAACTGTTACCAGCTGCAGAGAGGAGCCAAGGCAGCAGCTGAAAGGATGGACTTCCCCCTCTTCCCTCTTCCGCTTTCTTCTATTCATCCTTTTGCACCAGTTCTCTCCTTGGATGTATGAGGCAAATGAGGCAGTTTTGTTCACGTTGCAACTGAGTGACAACATTCCCAATTTACGCCCCTGTAAAGGAAAAGGGAGTTAGGATCTTTGTTCACTCACGGAAGTTCACAAGGGTGTTACAATCTCCAAGTCTGCTGTTGCTGCTTGAGGAGTTTCAAGAAAAAGAAAATGGCTGGCAGGATCTTAGGTGATTGCGTATGAAAGCTGGCACAAGACATGCCTGAAGCTGAGCATATATTGATAAACTGGAAAATCTCTCGCTCCTATGCAAGAGATCCAGCAAAATTACCTCAGATCTGCAAAAGCCTAGTGCTCATATTTAGCCTACACTAGCTAGATGTTACGGGCTCCAGCTTACAATTAACCCAGCTATCAGCATCTCCTCTTTCTGCACAAGCCTTCAGTGCCTTCTGTACATGATCTGTGGCCAGCACATTCTCTGCAGCCTGTTTTCAGCATGGTAAAACAGCAGAATCCTTGTTTACCTCTCAGGCAGTGCCCTTCTACACATGAGGCAGTATAGCTAAGTGAAAAGAGAAGCAAACTATAATCAGAGAAGCAATAGAAATCGCAAAACTAATGCATCCTATTTAAACAGGGGTCTTGCAAGGAAGAGGCTGCACAGACACTCCTTTCCTTAGATCAGAGCAGTTGTGGGCTGTGTTTACCTACCTCAATCTTTTGCAATGCTTCTTTAGAGGTATCCAGCAGTTGAAGCACTGAATCAAAATATTGCTTTCTCTCCCTTTCTGCATCTTGCTGGTTGTTGCTACAAGCACAGCCTTTTGGAGAACTGACGTCTGTCCATGAAACCAGATGGCATAATTGCAACTGCACTTACTTTGCACAGAATGATAGCTACTAGTGGAACATGATAAGGCTTTAACCTTACTTTAGGATACTTTATCAAGATGCAGCTGCCTATCGAATGTCCAGTAGTGTGAAAATCTGACTCCCCCTTTTCCCCCTTTATATTCCGAATTTTCAAAATCTGTCTAGGAATTTTTGTTGCCTTTTCCATCCAGCACAAGTGCTGTAACACAGACTTCCAGTGCACAATTGGTAAGGTATGTTACAGACTTCTTTCTCTTCTCTGATGCTATGGCAGCTGTTTTCCTTATCCTTCATATCTATTTTTCTATGTGTTGACCAAGTAAACTACACAGATCTGTCAGGACAGAAATTTCCAACCTGGGACAAAAAAAAAAAAATAGGCAATCAATTTTATGAAAGAGAACAAAAAGTTTTCTTTCTTCCTTCCTAACTTTAGATGAAAGAATTTCTGTCCTTTTGTTGAAAGACATCTCATGATATTCCTTCATGATATTGTTTGGAAACAACAAAATATGCTTTAATAGGGAACTTATAGAAGTTGGCGGATTCAAGTGCAATTGTAGGGCTTATATAACTGCATCCAGTGTGCAGTAAAATCGGACAGAAAAAGCAGATTTATGTTATTAAGAAATCTGGGCTGTCAAATAGATTGGTTTGTAATGTCAGTTCTATGTTATGAGAATAAATTTTTAGAGAGCTAGAGAAAGGTAACTGGAAAGTCTGAAAAAAGGAAACCATTTAATAGAGATCTCTTACTTTTTTCAAAGTGACATTTGTGGCTGACACAGAAGCAAGGTATTTTACACTGTATCTTGGAATATAGTGTTGTGAGGAGATCTTTACATTCTTCCCACAGATTGCACATAATAAAAAAAGTAGAATATATGCAGACATGTGAGTTCAGGATTTCTTAAAATATATATATATATTTAAATCTCAGGGGCTAAATAAAATGTAACGAACATTCTGAGTACAAACATCCTTTCCTTCTCTGCCTTGGAGAACTGCAGGAAATAGTGAATTCACCTTGGTAAGGAATGAACATCTTTCACAGCATAAGTTGGAAGAAAGAGATCATCTCTTTTAGCATTCCCATCATATATTTTACTCTCAAATTTGGTTGGAAATGTGTCTCCTTATTAGGACCATCATCATTTGTATTTTAAGACTAAAGTAGTTTAGTTTTAGAATCTAAGAAGTTACTGAGACATCCAGAGCTAAGCTCCATTAAACTCTTTGACCTAAACCCTATGAAGCCATTAGTTCAGCAGGAAGAACATTATTATGCCAGCACACAGTGTGAGCACAAATACTCTTCCCCTTCTGCCTACTTCTCTCCCCCTAAAGTATTATGTTTTATAAGAAAAAGCAGAGAACTATTTGAGACCCTAATGGATTATCAAATGAAATATGATCACCAATGGTTATGTATTATATTTAATGTTTCATTAGTTGTAGTAAGAGCAGACAAAATGGTTGGGCTTACTCTGTGGTTTTCCAACTTCAGCTCAGTTCTGCAGAAATTCCCTGCAGAAATTTATTGTTAAATTATTTACCTCCTTAATTTTCAAGGTCAAGTTGGTTTTGTCCTTCTGCCTTCTCTTGCCCTTTGTAACCTCCTCCATCTTCCTTATAGAAACTGAATTTTTTATGGCAGTCATTGGATGGAAGATGGAATGAATGAAATGGTTAATGATGAGGCAATTGCTGTCCTTCTGATAGTGGGTGACATAGAATAGAATGACCCCAATGTCATGAATCTTGCTCAGGAAGGGAATTGGCGTTTACCTATGATTTCACTATGATATAAGTCAAGGGCTGCACCATCAGCTCCTCTTTGTGGAGACCAAGTGTGAAAGACGATTTTTCATAAATCTTTTTGTAGAAAAGAAAATTTTGGTTTATTCCATATCTGAAGTGAACACCACAGTGTTTTGTGTTGGTTGTTTACCCAAACACTTAGCTTTCATATCCACCTTTTGCAATTCACATTATTTCTTGTTACAGCACTAGCCAGTTCCATACATTTGAAACTGTTGGGGAAAAAATGCAGATTTCACTATTCGGACAGGACGTACATCTATTCCAAGTGATAGGTATGACACTTCTTAGTCTGGAGATTCCCTGCAGCAAAGATCAACAGCTGCAACCTGACGATCCCTAAGGTAAATGTTTTAGCATTTACTGTTTACAGCCTGAAAATTTAACAATTCTGTACCTATGACACCAGGAGGTGTCCGTACTCTTGCAGTCTACTACTCAAGCAGGGTATTCCTCAGGAAATCATCAAACTTCATAGTATGGTTTGGGTTGAAAGGGACCTTAAGTCCATCTAGTCCAAGATCCCTGCCATGGGCAGAGACATCTTCCACTTGACCAGGGTGCTCAAAGTCCCATCCAACCTGGCCTTTAACACTTCCAGGGATGGGGCACACACAGCTTCTCTGGGCAACCTATTCCAGTGCCTCATCATTCTCACAGTAAGGAATTTCTTCCTGGTATCTAAACTAAATCTGCTCTCTTTCAGTTTAAAGCCATTACTCTTCGTCCTATCACTACATGCCCTATAAAAAGTCTCTCTGCAGCTCTCTTCTAGGCCCCTTCAGTTACTGGAAAGCTGTAAGCTCTCCCTGGAACCTACTTTTTTCAAGGCTGAACAACCCCAACTCTCTCAGCCTGGCTTCACAGGAGAGGTGTTCCAATCCCCTGATCATCTTCATGGCCTTCCTCTGGACTCACTGCAGTAGCTCCTTCTTATGTTGTGTGCCTCAGAGCTGGACACAGTACTCCAGGTGGGGTCTCACTTGACTATTACTTCCCTAACCTGTATTACAATGGCATTATACAATTATTTTAACCATGATGCTGTTGTTCTAATACTGGTGCAAAAAAAGATTTCAGTTACAGGACTTCTAGGTAAGGTTTGTGCCTGATTTTAATATAATCCTCTCTAACACCACTACTAGCATGTGTTTCCTATTCTGTAAAGTGAAGAAGCCACAGAGAAGCTCAAGAAAAGTAATCTGAACTCTACCCTGGAACCCTCTGGCACTAATCAGATCCAGAGCATTGGGAACTTTGTTCATTTGTGCTTGG